AAATTTGGGGTCAAGGATGAGATATGGAAGAAGATCAAAGGAAGATCATTAATTAAATATGGAGGCTTGACTATCCAAATTTATGCGGATTTAACATCATAAACTCTATGGAGGAGGACATCCCTGAGACCCCTGTTGGAGAAAATGAGAAAGCAGAATGTGCAGTATAGATGGGGTAATTCAGCATCTTTAATTGGGTGGAAAAATGGGGTTACAGCTTATCTGAGATCCCCGGAAGATCTGAGAGACTTTTGTGATAGACTGGACTTGCAAAGATTGGAGATAGCTGGCTGGGAAGAAGAAGAAGAAGAAAAAGAAGCTACGGTTGACACAAGAAAAGAGGACTGGCAGCAGGTGGGGGAGAGGAGGGAGGCCTTGGGGTTGGTGAGAGAAGGGAGAGAGACTTTGGTAAAAAATATGTTTTTCCTTTTTTTTTTTTTTTTCTCTCTTACTCTCCCATCCCCCCCTGCCCCACCCCTGTCGATGTGGAAGTCCTTAAGGAAGTTTGGTTAAGGGGGGGGGGGAGTAAAGGTTATTCTCGAGCCCAGGTGATAGAGAAAGGGGATCTGGGGAGGCCGGAGAAGGGGTAGCCGTCCATGGGCGGAGCTTACGCCCAAAAATTTTAAATCAATCGTGGAACTGTATCCACAAATGATTTGTAGGCAGATTACAAGCCTAAAAATGGGTAGGGGAAAAATGAGAAAGGGGGGGTGGAGGCGGGGGGGTGAGATGGGGATTGGGGGGGTGGTGGTGGGTGGGAGGGGCGTTGGGTGGGAGAGAGCGGGGGGAGGGAAGGTTGGGTTAATATTCTGCAAGATAGAAGGACCTAAGAGGAGGAGGCGAGTTAGAGGAGAGATAGACAGAACAAAGTAGGATGGAAGAAATACAGTTTATAACATATAATGTGAACGGGTTGAACTCCCCTGGGAAAAGATTTAAGTTGTTTAAAGAGTTACATCATAGGGCAACATCAGTGGTATTTTTACAGAAACACATTTTGAGATAGAGTCAAATGTAAAATTAAAATCTAAATATTTTCCAACATGGTATTACGCTGACTCTCCAATTAAAAGAGCAAAAGGGGTGGCAATAGGTTGGCAAAGAACATGAGATTCGAGTTGAAGGATAGAAAGACCGATCCGGAGGGGAGGTTCTTGTTCTTGAAAGGCAAATTACAGGGAATCGAGTGCACGTTAGCCAATATATATTGCCCCAACAAAAAGCCGGAGATCTATTTGAAGGGTCTGCTGAAAAAATTGATAGACTTTAAAAAAAGGACGTTTGATAGTATCAGGAGATTTAAATCTCTGTATGGATCCACAAAAAGATACAACCTCCCCTGTGCAGAGAGAAGGTGGTAGGTCTCTGAGAGCTTTGAAAAAAGCGATCCACGAGTACCAACTTGTAGACACCTGGAGAATAATACATATGAAAGACAGAGACTATACCTTCTTCTCCAATGCACATGAGATATATTCGAGACTGGACTATATCCTAATAGATCACCAACTTATAGAACTGTTGGTTAAAATAGAAATAGAGATGAGTACATTCTCAGACCATGCCCCTGTCATTATGAAAATGGGATGGGGGAGACGGTGGACGGGAGGCCTAGGATGGAGACTAAATGAGGCCCTTCTCTTGGACAAAGATATAGCTCAGAAGATTGGGGAAGAAATTGAGGTATATTTTAAGGAGAATGAGACAGAGGAAGTATCGACAGCTACAGTATGGGAAAGTCACAAGGCATATATAAGAGGAATCCTGATTGCGATGGGAGCAAGGAAGAAAAGAGAAAGAAGAGAGAGGGTCAGTGGGCTCCTAAAAGAAATCATGGACTTGGAGCAGATACAAAAGAAGAAAATAACAAGAGATACAAAAACAGAAGTTAATGGATAAAAAAGATGAGCTAGAGAGATTGATGGAAGAGGAAAGGAGAAGAGTATATAATTAGGTATTAAGTGAAAGATATAGATGGGGAGACAGACCAGGAAACTACTTAATGAGAGCTCTGAATAAAAAGAAAAATAGAAATTACATAGAAAAGATAAAAAACGGGGAGTTGGTTTACTCAACTAAGGAGATTATTAAAGTGTTTACGGAATACTATAGAAAGTTGTATAATATTAGACCCCAAAGCTCGTCAAAAGAAACTGAGAGGATATTAAAGAAAAAAGGAAGACCTATTTAAAAAACGCAGGATTACCAAAGTTAAGTGAGGTACAACTGAATGCCCTAGATGCGGAAATTTCCCAAGATGAAATAAAAGCAGCACTAAGAAGTACGGGGGGTGGAAAAAGCCCAGGACCAGATGGGTACACAGTTAATTACTATAAAAAATATAGTGAAATATTGTTACCTAAGTTAAAGAAGTATATGAACGATTTGGGAGGAGGGATGGAGGGTAGAAGAGAATCTCTTCAGGCCCATGTTGTACTCATTCATAAGGAAGGAAAAGACCCCTCTCAGTGTTCCAGCTATAGACCAATTTCATTATTGAACACCGATACTAAGTTGTACGCAAAGGTCCTAGCAAATAGGCTGAAAGATCTAATACCAGAATGGATCCATGGAGACCAGGTGGGTTTTGTCCCAGGGAGAGAGGGTAGGGACAACGGGTTGAGAACTCTGATGCTAATCCAGAAAAGTAGAAAAGGGAAAGCCCCGGTGGTGCTGTTGTCGATTGATGCTGAGAAGGCGTTCGATAGAGTGAACTGGGGCTTCATGATGGACAACCTAGAAGTGTTGGGGATTGGAGAGAGAATGCGTGAGTGGATAGGTAAACTATACAGGGAACCCACCTCAATTATTACGGTAAATGGAGAGAGATCGGAATCCATAGGGATGTCCAATGGAACAAGACAGGGCTGTCCTCTGTCCCCCCTGCTATATGTTTTGTCATTGGAACCCCTGTTGTCAATGATAAGGAATAGTGGTGCGGTAAAGGGAATCCAGATCGAAAATATAGAACATAAAGTAGCGGCCTATGCAGATGACCTATTATTCTATGTAGGTAACCCCCGAATAACATTACCAAATATAATGAAATTTTTGAAGGAGTATGGGGAACTATCAAACTTAAAAATTAATCCAACAAAAACAGAGATCCTGAACATCAATATATTAAAGAATGAAAAGGAAAAGTTACAAAAAATAATTCCCCTTTATATGGAGAGAAAAAGATTTAAAATACCTAGGGATAAAACTCGCTATCTCTTATAAACAACTGTATAGATTAAACTATATTTCCTTAATAAATGAGACTAAGGAAGAATTGAAAATATTAGGAGGAAACCCATCATGGATAGGACGTATAAACCTAGTTAAAATGGTAATTATACCTAAAATACTGTATAGATTCCAAATGGTTCCGATTAAAACTCCCAGAGTCTTTTTTTAAGATAATAAAAAAAAATGTTAACAAGATATATTTGGAGGAATAAAAAACCAAGAATATCATATGAAATACTGAGTAGGACTAAAGAAAAAGGGGAATGGGACTACCTGACGTCAAGAGATATTATAAAGCAGTAATTTTAGCAAGAATTTATGATTGGACATTTAACCAGAAGGGGAAGAGTTGGGTAAAAATTTAAAATGCACTGAGTGGGATATTAGTTTGAGTAAGATGATATGGATTCCAGCACATTATAGAAAAATTAATGAAAACACAAGTAATTACACTTTAAATGTTTTAAGGGTATGGGATAATTTACACAAAAATATGAAATGGGAATTCAACTCTTTATTAATGCCTCTTGCAAATACTGATTATTTCCCCCCAGGAAAGGATGAGATATCAGGGAGATGGTTTGAGAGGGAAGATGTCCAACTGAGAGATGTACTGGTAGAGGGGAAATTGAGATCATTTAAAGAACTTAAAGAGAAGAAGGGAGATATTTTTATTAGAATAGATGAATGAAATATCACCAACTAAAAATGTTTTATTGGGAAATTACCAAAACCCTTGAGATTAAAGAAGGAGTGGAAAATATGTTTGAAAGGTTATTAGAAACACGTAGAGATGGGAAACATGGAATTGCCAAAATTTATAGAATACTCACAGAATTAGACACAGACACAAAGTTAATTTTTATAACGAAGTGGGAAGAGATATGGAGGTGGTGTTACATGAGGATCAACAGAAAAAGATATTCAGATTGACACACGAGAACGTTAGTATGAGAGAAGTGGAGTTAATTATAAATGTTTGACACGATGGCACATTACATTATTGAGCACAAGGATGAGTGGGGAGAATTCAAAAATGTGTTGGAGAGGATGTGGAGAGATAGGCACGGTGTTTCACATGTGGTGGCAATGTCCGAAAATTCAGGCTTTTTGGAAAACAATAGTTAAATTGATAGAAATAATAACTGGAAATGACATAGGGTTAGACCCAACGATGTGTCTTCTACATAACGTTGAGATAACAGTAAATAAATATAAACAATCAGGCGTATGGTATTATTTAAATGCTGCAAAAGGGTTGATACCCAAGTTCTGGCAGAAAACAGAGGTGCCGAAGGAGGAAGACTGGATCAACAGAGTAAATCAGATCAGTAGAATGGAAAAAATCGTACTATATACAGGAAGATAGGCTGGGAACATACTATTCGAGATGGGAAAAATGGGAAAAATCAGAAGTGAAAGAGAAATATATAAAAATCTTAAATTAGGAAGTTATTTAAAGTGATTGGGCCTCGTGAGACTGGTGAACTTGCAGAGGGGTGGGAGGGAGAGGGGGGAGGGGAATGGGGGGGGGTAGGGGAGGGAAAGAAAAGAGTTATTAGAAGGGGTAAAATAGAAATGTTAAGACTACTTAAATGTATTGTGTTTCTTTTTATGACATTTTTTGTAATAACATGAAAAACCAATAAATATTTAAATTAAAAAAAAAAAAAAAAAAACAGTAAAAACTGAAGTTTTATCATACTAGGTCAATACACTCATTCCTGTAATGGTACCATTTTAGTTTTTTCTTTAATTCTTTATTTCAGACACACTGGGGTTGATTTACTAAAACTGGAGAGTGCAAAATCTGGTGCAGCTCTGCATAGTAACCAATCAGCTTCCAGGATTTATTGCTTTATAGCTTAATTGAACAAGCTGAAGTTAGCAGCTGATTGGCTACCATGCACAGTTGCACCAGATTTTGCACTCTCCAGTTTAGTAAAAATCAACCCCATCACATCACATACATGTTAGATTTTGAATACAGTGCATATCTAAAATTATTATTTTCCAATAATTTAGTCTTTCTCTCCTGGATTTATAAATCCCGGATTATGAGCTGTGTGTGTGGTGTGTTTATTTTCTCTTTTACTTACAATAATACAGTAAACAACTACAAAGAATTATTTTGGATGGGTTAGGATGGCAAAAAAAGAGATGTTTTCAATATAAGTGGGGAAGAAGAGAGAAAAAGACAAATGCAAGATGGGAAAGGGGGTGGGGTGAATGTGTGTATAGCACCGGAATTGGGGTCTCCTCCATTTTTCCACTTGGAAGGAGTTTTATAGACTGTATAGAGTATTTAAAAATAGTCTGTCTGTCCTTGATTAATTTCCAAGTGGGTTTATGGAAAGTCAAATCAGTCTTCCTTAGTCTGTAACGGAGAAAAGGGAGGAATACATTTTGCATATCAAGGTGCAGGTGAAATTCGATCATGGGAACCATGTGTTGTTAAATGTTTCCTCCTGGTTATGAAGGAAGCCAGTCAATTCCAGCATTTTGTAAAAAAGCTCATTAATTTTGGTAAACCATAAGTGAGTGATAGGAGATGTTGTATGTTTCTGTAGGCTGGAATGCAGGCTCAGGCCGCATTAAAGAGATAGACTGTCAGGGAGGATTTATAGCACTTTCAAGGCACTTTATTAACATGCAACAGGTAACTGAGGGATTTGTCCCTAGGTCCACAAAAGTAAGCTGAAGAGTCAGTCTTGGGAACTTTGTCCAAAATAGATGCCGGGGGGGTGGAGGGGAAGCTCCTGGAAGTGCTGAGTAATGTTCTTTGTTCTGAAAAACATCTCCAGCAGGGGCGGACTGACCATTTGGAAACTCGGGCACTGCCCGAGGGCCCGGGGTCAGTAGGGGGCCCCATGAGATGCCCCTAGTACCTTTTTCATAGGCTTTTTTGACTTTGGGCAAGGACACAGGGCCCCATGATCCCCTATTGCCCAGGGACCCCATGAGTTGTCAGTCCGCCCCTGATCTCCAGTCATTTCTTCAAACTGTGGGTTCATTTCGAGGAGAAGAGATGGGACCTGATAAAACCATGTTATCAATTTGTAACCTTGTTTTTTTGAAATCTGTCCACAATAGAAGACCTGTGCATTAATGTGATGACCTGCTGAATTTGGCTTTGTGTAAGTGAGATATGAGAGATTCCCACTTCTGTATATATGGTGGGACACATAGTCTTCTGGTGGTGTACTGAGGATCTAATATAGAAGGGGAGAGTAACTGAGACATGTTTGCAGCATCACGGGATAAAATTTTAAAAGGCAAGAAGGGTCTGGAGAGTTGACTTCAATCTGGTATAGACCTACGTAAGTGCCAAACCTGAAACACCACCATGGTGTCCATTGGTAGTGAAAGCAGGTTTTGGACTGTCATGTGGATTAACCAACCATTTTGTTTCAGAAAGTCCAGGATTCTGAATTCCTCTGCATCCATAAAGTGTATGTGATTCTAGTTTTTAGGATTTTCCTGCCTCCATTTAAGTTGCAAGACCTCTGCCAATTACTATACAAAAGGAATCTTTTATGTGAACTCTGGTGTATGCTAGCTTAAACTCAGGTAAAAAAAAAAAAACCCTGTAGACGTCATTAGTGTGTGTTTTTTCCTTTGGGTTATACCAAGCTACATGTACCTTCATGTATTAAAACAGGTATACACTTTATCTTATGCAATGCCAAGCTGCAGTATCCAAAGCAAGCAAAATCCTTTTTTGTATTAAAAGAGGTATAGACTGCAGAAGAGAGAGACACAATTTTGCAGCTGTACAAATCATTAATAAGACAAGTTCACGAAAAGGATATCAGACAACTAGAGCAAGTGCAGAAAAGGGCAACCAAACTAAAAAGAGGCACGAGGAGCTCAGCTATGAGGAAAGATTAGCTGAACTGAATTTAGGGAGATATGATTACCATATATAAGTACATGGTGGTCCATGTAGTGAACTTGGTGTCGAGTTATTCACTTTAAGGTCATTACAGGGGACAAGGGGGCTTTACATCTGGAGGAAATTAAATCTAACCTTCACATATGAAAAAGGCTTCTTCACAGTAAGATCTGTGAAAATGTGGAAGAGACTCCATCAAGAACTAGTTCTGGCCTGCCATTGTTTTAAAAAAATAACTGGATGCATTCTTAATTGCAAAAAATATAGCTAAATATTAACATTTACAAGTAATAACACCAGAGACTGTTGATCTAGGGAATATCTTATTGCCTACTGAAGATCAGCTTTTTCTGCCACTGGAGCAAATAGGACGATTTATAGGTGTTTTTTCCTTCACCTGGATTAACTGTGAATATAGTGTTTAGTTTATGGAGTTTTTCTATTTATTTATTTATTTCTGTTGGTTGAACTAGATAGACTTGTGTTTTTTTCAGCCTGACTAACTATTTACCTATTTAACTATTTATAGGACTTCAGGACAGCACTTTCTTCTAGTATATGAGGGGAATGCTTGTAACTGAGGGATTTGTCCCTAGGTCCACAGAAGTAAGCTGAAGAGTCAGTCTTGGGAACTTTGTCCAAAATAGATGCAGTGGGTTGGAGGGGAAGCTCCTGGAAGTGCTGAGTAATGTTCTTTGTTCTGAAAAACATCTCCAGCAGAGGCGGACTGACCATTTGGAAACTCTGGCACTGCCCGAGGGCCCCGGGGTCAGTAGGGGACCCCATGAGATGCCCCTGGTACCTTTTTCATAGGCTTTTTTGACTTTGGGCAAGGACACAGGGGCCCCATGATCCCCTATTGTTATTGAGTTGTCAGTCCGCCCCTGATCTCCAGTCATTTCTTCAAACCTGTGGGTTCATTTCGAGGAGAAGAGATAGGATCTGATAAAACCATGTTATCAATTTGTAACCTTGTTCTTGAAATCTGTCTACAATAGAAGACCTGTGCATTAATGTGATGACCTGCTGAATTTGGCTTTGTGTAAGTGAGATATGAGAGATTCCCACTCCATCAAGAACTAGTTCTGGCCTACCATTGTTTCAAAAAATAATTGGATACATTAATTGAAAAAAATATAGCTAAATATTAACATTTACAAGTAATAACACCAGAGACTGTTGATCTAGGGAATATCTATTGAAGATCAGCTACTGAAGATCAGCTTTTTCTGCCACTGGAGCAAATAGGACCATGATTTATAGGTGTTTTTCCTTCACCTGGATTAACTGTGAATATAGTGTTTGGTTTATAGAGTTTTTCTATTTATTTATTTATTTCTGTTGGTTGAACTAGATAGACTTGTGTTTTTTTCAGCCTGACTAACTATTTACCTATTTAACTATTTATAGGACTTCAGGACAGCACTTTCTTCTAGTATATGAGGGGAGTGCTTGTAGGGTTGAAGCGGTGTACTTTTCTTAGACTCCACGTACAGTAAATCCTTCATATAATTTGCTAATATAATTCCTCTAAAAAACTAATCTTATGTGAATGGATCTGCACCATTCATTGCAAGCATTGCTGCAGCTGAAAGTAAAAAAACCACAAACCAAATGCACGGAGCCGGATATTATTCCTGTTTACTGGTAAAGTTTCCTCTGAATGAAGATTTCTTTTAATAAAGGCCTGCTTGTTTTATTTCACTCTACCCTGTTATGTCTAGATGCTATTGATCAAAATTATGTACAACAGAAAGAGCTCAGGCCCTGCAATGTAATGATTAAACAAGATTATTGATCTGAATGTATGAAAGGCATAAACTGCAGCCTAACCAAGAGGTCAGTTCATAAAGTTCTCCTTAATACGGAAAAACAAACAGATCTACAGATTGTAATACAAACTGAAAGGACTCCTAATTTCACTTAAGGAAAAAAAAAATCACTGAGAAAAAAAGTTATTATTGAGGTCATGAAGCTCAAACTCGGAATCGGGAGTTGCATTAAATCTCGGTTCATGGATATTTGTGTTTTAAGAGAAAAGAGAGTAAACAGAGAAGTAGGGCATGCCAACCCAGGACTTAACTAATTGGAAAAGAGCCCAGGCAATGTCTTTCTGTCTTAACGAGTACATTAATGCTTTGCCCTAATGCTTCATCCATTTTGTAATTAACCGTTGAGACAGCTGTTAATTTGTTTTGTGGCTGTGCACTTGTTACTGACGATACAACGCATCCAGTGCACAATGCTAATGACACAAACATGCGATGTGTTTATATCGACAGTAGCAGACTGCACAAAGGCAAGCCCAATTAAGGAGAGCGGTGTTTCCTTTTGTTCTCGCATGGGGAAAGGGAAATATCAATTAAACAAACAAATACAGGAGCAAGATGAAGAAATAAACAGTGTATGCTGGAAACGTGTTACATTGTCTATTGGCAGATGATGATCTTGAAGATCATAGGATAACAATGTTTATTTCTTGCACACATTGACATTTAAAGTATCACCTTTGTTCCATATTTTTTATTTAGTTTTGTTTATTCCTTTTGGCATGATTTGCCATTGTCAGTTCCCTTTGCAACAAATATTTGGTGGTTATTAATAGTTCTGCCCCACAAACATCTCAACTCTAAGTATACATTTAGCTATTAAAATAGTTCAGTGATATATACAGTATATAAAGCAAATGGATGTATAGAATACACAATCATAATATTGCCTCTTCATTAATAATGACCTACATTTAATAAGATTCAAAAGCTGAGCAAATATAAACTGCAAATAGCTCGGTAATTATTATAGTTCTAATTAGTATTTTCATTATGTATTTATTTATTTACTTTCATTTTTAACATTTAAGAAGTTAGAAAAAATAGCATTGTATTTCAATGAAAAAAGACATTCTAAAATGTTTACAAACTTGTGAAAATATGTTTTCAAACTATCAAGTTAAAGATGTTGTCACATATACGATATAAAGATAGAGAGAGTGAGATGGCGAAAGTGATAGATACATTCTAGAATAATAGATTTAATTTATTAATATTATTAATCCTAATATACAGGATTTATATACAGTAGCACTGGTGGTTTACAAAATAAAGGGAAGCAGTTACAATACAAATCAATACAAGAGGGTTAGGAGGGCCCTGCCCATGAGCTTGCAATCTAAAAGGGAGGGTCAAGTGATACAAAAGGTAATAACTGTGAGGGATGATCTGATATTTTAGATTATTTATATATATATATATATATATATATATATATATATATATTCAAATACACAGTTGTCTCAATGAGAGTGATAGTGACGTGACATAAAGAAAAAAATGTAAAGATCGATGATCAGTCTTCATCTCATGACTGACATGGTGGGATTAGTAGAATTGTTTGTGCATTCATGCTTTTGAGATCAGAGTGATTTCTGTGTCATGTTTCAAAATTCTAACCAATGCAAATCATGTTTTTGAATATGTTTAGGTCTGAATTTCATTTATGCCTCTCCACGGGCCGTAAAAAGTGTTTATAGGTTTCTACCTGATTGCATAGCGTACTACGGAAGGGAAAGGTCAGAGGAGACTCTTGGGATTCTGATTTGCATATGAAACAAAAGCATAAACTAAAGTACAATTTTAAATGGTGGCAGACTCTCTATCTACTGTATTTATCAATCTATGTCTATCTTGTTATTTATGTATCGCATATACTTTAACATTTTTGTATCTATTAATTACTATCTATCTATCTATCTATCTATCTATCTATATATCTATCTATCTATCTATCTATCTATCTTAAACACATAAGGATCACAACAGAGGTTCTAATGTTATGTCTTTAGTTCTTTATAAATTCTTTTTATTAAGTTTAAATTTAAGTACAAAACATGGCCATCTGGACATAAGGCATTCTCTCTTCCTCCCATCCAATTATTCTAAGTAACGGTGCTATCACTCCTTCCCCTTCCGATATGGAGACCATATTACTTATTGCTAAAGTACATAAATATTTGCAACCAACATGCAGGGTGTCACAATATGTTTTAATTAAATATGAGGCAAGCCAAGAATCCCATATTTTAGTAAATTCATTGGGGCAATTTTAGATTTATATGTAGCCTTGTACAGTGGAAGCACAGAGTTCACAAGAGATTTGCAAAGCTCTAAGGTGGGAGCCAGCACTGACTTTCATTTGAATACAATAGCTGAACTAGGAAACAAAAGAAGGAAATGAAGGCGGCCAATAAGTGTTCTGATTACTTGAGTGGTAGCCAATGGCTCCACCAAGCCCAACAAACATATAGCTACACTGAACAAAGGCCAATACTCAGTGTGGAGATAAATTGTTGAACCTGGGACCAGAACAGTTGAATAACAGGGCACTTCCTTAACATATGAATAATCAGCAAAGTTATTAAGACATTTGCAACAATGTGCTGGAGTGGAAGGGTATCTTTTGTGAAACCTTTATAGGGTTAAGTAAATTAACTGAATTGTATTAACCTATCCCTGGCTAATATCAAATTAGGCAAAGAGTAATCCCACCCATGATTCCAGTCATCCTTGTCCAACTCTGGTACAGCTGTCTCCCCAAAGGGGAGGGGCTCTGACTTCACGACACTTAAAGCAACATACAGCAAGTATTCAACAATATTGGAAAAACCTTACTGTGCATTCAAAATTTAACTTTTAATGCAGTTTTAATTTTAATGAGGATAAGGCACTATATTCTTTTATTACATTTCATGGCCAATATACCTATGGAGAAAAATCCCTAAGGAAGCAAGGAGACCCCCTAGTGGGAAGAGGGATATTTCCGTCCATCCATTCGGCTCCAGGAAAATCCATAAGGAAGCGAGGGGACCCCCTGCTGTGAAGAGGGAACACTCCGTTCATCCATCCATCCCAGGAAAAGAGGGATGATCCAATCCATTTATCACTAAGTCCAATTAAAGGGACACAAGATTTTTATGAGCACGTTTAACGGTTTGGTCATATACACCAGGTAAGAGCACAACCGGTGAAGGTACACAATATATTTTTTATGCTTGGTGAACTGCACGGTTATTATCTCGCATCACAGCACTAGAAGAAGTATCAAAGGCATGGACTTATTAAGGACATGTTTGCAGCAGCAATATAATTGCAGTGATATTGTGACATATATTTTTTTGATGCTGGACTTTTATCTATTCAATATATATTCACTCATAATTTTTACAATTGGTAGTGGAGCACGACACTATTTCTGATTTTATTTTATATGACACAATGGTATGAGTATGTGTAGAGTGTAAGTGAACCACATTTTTCACAGTTTATACACAATTTTATTTATTTTTATTTGTATATCACAATTTTAGTATAATTTAAATATTTATTAGCACTTTACATACAAGATAGTAGCTCACAAGACCCCACCACTTTAGTTAGCAGAAATGTGTTGTAAGCTCTAGCAACTGACCAGTAAGCTGTAATGCGTGCTGCAACCTCTAGGAATTAGTCAGTGAGTAGTAATGATATACTGTAACCTCTGGCAACCATTTGCTGCCTGATCTGCTGCAGTAAACTGATTTTGAGTCTAGCTGCTATTTATTGTATGTCTCGGGGAGGTGGCGACTAGGGGGGGCCCCAAAAAATCTTTGTCCAGGGTCCAATCAATATTAAAAATGGCCTTGCTTGTTATGATCATTTCTGATACATACTTTATAATTATGGATCAATAAAATGTAAATAGGGGTGTTTATTCCCCATGTTTTAAATTGTGTACTGTGTAATGTTCCTGGGGTACCATAAAAGTCCACTGTAATTGCAGAATTGAATAGTCTTCGAGACTGGTGTGGTGCCCCTCTCTTTACAGCCTTGAATTCCTCAAATATCTATAACACATTTATGGATATGTGGTTATAAAACCTTATAAATATTGGAAAGGGATTTAATTATTGATTCACTTCTCAAGAGAAACCAGATCCTAGAAGATGTCAGTGCAAGCCCCATTGTCCCAAACTAAACATGGTAATTACAGGGAAGTTGCAAATATCTAAACAAGAATGAGGTAGGGAGATCATACTGTTGCCTCAATTGATCAAATGACCTAAGAGCAGGGGCGGACTGACAACTCATGGGGCCCCCAGGCAATAGGGGATCATGGGGCCCCTATGTCCTTGCCCAAACTCAAAAAAGCCTAGGAAAAAGGTGGCATCTCATGGGGCCCCCTACTGACCCCGGGCCCTCGGGCAGTGCTCGAGTTTCCAAATGATCAGTCCGCCCCTGCCTAAGAGTATTATTATCACAAATATGAGATTGACAATGATTACCCTGAAATGCCCATAGGGCTGGGTCAAGAACTGGAAAACATATGATAGTTAGGGATTCAGGCAAATGAGAAAGTTTGGATCCTGTCTGACAGGTGATATACCATGTATTAATGACTGCATGCATACAATGTATTAGGAAGAACAGGGCAGTCCCCCCTGTATGCAGTAACGTTTCTTAGGCTTCATAGGATCCTAAATGTGCTGCTTCCAAAACCACTAAGCCATTTGTTTTCTCAGAAATCAACCAGTCATGAAGAGCTGCTATAAAGAAAGTTTGAAATTCAAGACATGCCAGGCCCCCATGCGTCCGAGGTCTTTGAAGTATCATTAATCTAAACTATAGGCAGTGAGGATCCAACGGAAATGTAGACAGGAAGGAATACATATTGGTGAATGTCTGAGAACATAAAAATGGGAGGGAGAGTTTTAATTTTAATCAAATTAATTCTACCTATCAAAGATAAAGGTATATTTCCCATGCTTTCCGTTTATTCTTCATTCCCCGCATCACTGGGGGTAGGTTCAATTTGCAAAAATCTAAGACATTCAAGAAAATTTAAATGCCAAAGTATCTCAAATTGCATGTCCATCACATGTCCATCGCAATGGGAGGTTCAGGTCCATGACAAGTTGAGCTTCTAGGTCAACAGGCAAGATCTGGGATTTATCCCAGTTTACCCTGAGGCCTGAGTATGTAAAATATATAGAAAGGACCCAAAGCGGCTTCCACAGTAAGGGACTCAGGTCATGCATACATTATTATCTGCTTACATTGCCAATATTTTTTCCAGGGGGCCCACTTGGATTCCCTCCTGCTTAGAGTGATGAATGGCTATGATAATGGGTTTCATCATTCAGGCAAACAGGACTAGGGAAAGCGGATGTCTTTAATTTTTAGGAATGTTGAATTACTAAAATTACTTACATGAAGGCATTACCTGTAAACAAGGAAAGTATAAGAGCAGGTTCAATTGGTATATACAAAACGGCATTATTACAACCAAAAACAAATACTTAAAACTTTATTTTAGTTATTTTAACCCCAATCTAGTCACCATTATCTATTTGTGATTGATGCTCCAAGTCTGGTTTCAGCTACAGCATCTGGCCAGTACCGGTGACTTACAGCAGCTGCCCACTGTAAGTCATAGTGAGAAAGCAAGCACTGTGGGCTGGCAACACTACCAATGGCTATAGGCAACATCAACAAGTATTTAGCATCATTTTTCACAAATATTTAGGAAACATCTGGAAAGGTATGATATGGTTGTGCCTAAGGAAATTAATAATTTAATTAGATTTTTTTAGGTTTCTATATACCTTAAAATAGATTTTTAAACTGATCAACAAGTATGAGCACTGATAGGTTAACAATTACGGTAACTTTACAGTCACTAGGCTGAAAAGTGTAGGATGAATCCTTTAACAGGCATGGGTTACCATCCCTCTCAGGGCTTTACTGCTGTCTATGTTGCCACTGGATAGATTCCCATCACTTTCTGTGTAATCATCAAGAAAGGAGTGGGATGAATTTGTAAACAGTGTGGTCACAGATAGCAAACAAAAAAGCTTCTTAATTCAAAGAAAAAAAAATGTCTGGAGTTGGGCTTTAAGATAAATAGCAATTTTGGAGTGCCTCTGGACTTTAAATCATCTTTTTCCTGGTCGGAGTGCTATGAATCCAGAATGTTTGGATTTATGTTGGAGATGTCTCAAAGAAAGAGGCACAAGATGAAAAATGCCCTTCAATTGTACCCATTTGGGAAAAAATTCTGAAAATGTACAATATCATGAACCATTAAGCACGATCCTTATAATGCCTTATTGTTCACCCAGGTTCCTTCGAAGAAGGATCTATTGCACCATTGGCAGCACACACAACTATAGGGAGGCACTAGAGATCAGAACAGACTCCTACTATAGTGGAGTGGATGTGTGAGATGAATGAGATTGAATGTTTTGATAAAATAATCCCTCAGGAGGTGATTAGATCGGACTCATCAAATCATGATTCCAACAGGACTATTTTAAAGGATAAGTTCACCTTTTAACAAAAAATAATAAATGCACATTTTTTTTCAAGTAAAAAAAGTGCATTTATTATCTTTTGTTTCTGGAGCCTATAAAGCATTGTACCAGTGATCAGTAGGTTGCTGGTGCCATGTAGGTCTCCCTCTGACCTGTCACTGTATCTGCTTGCTAGTACATTCTGTACAGACAAGCAGATACCTACTCACAGGAAGACTCAATGAACTACCACGACGCTCCACAGCACTATGGTACTTCATTGATAACTACAAGCTAACAGCCACAAAGGCTGTCGGAGCTTGTTGTGTTCTCATTCACAGAACACTGTAAATGAGTGACGCGGCTGGACCGGCGGAGCCCCACACGGCCATGTTTTTTTTATATTGTTACAGCTAGCAGTGAGAAGAAGGTCCCCAGCTAGCTGCCACAATGAGGATGGGGGGGTGTGGGTGCCGGTCCAATCGTAACATGTTACATATTACACCCCAAATATTGGTGTAACATGTAACATGTTACAAAAGGTGAACTTATCCTTTATGTTCTCTGTGGAGTTATTCATTTTAGAGTATTTAGGGGCCTGATTGGTGACATCTAAGTATGCTGGCCTGTTGGAAGTAGCCTGGAAAGGGGATCATTCTCTCTTTTTCAAATTTTTCCACTTCTCTGTTCTCTTTTCTGCTGGGTTCTACTTTCTTATTGTTTCTGGTGTTCTTAATACTTTTTTCTTTTTTTAAAATCCTTAAGGAGGAATAAGCCACAACCATTGTGCCTAAGCCTCCGTGGTCCTAAGTTGCCATGATGCTTCTTGTTTAATAATGTCATTGACTCTTCTAATAGCAAACATTTTCTCTCGAGCATTTTCAGAAACCACTTTCTTATGATAACTTGCATCATCATGTTATGATAAAAGGTACTTTGATCCCAATCCAAGCTGTAGGTAACACTTATATAACATATTGATATAAAAAAATTATTTTCTGTGAATTTGCTATTGTATTTCTTCCTTGCTGCTTTCTGTATAATAAAATGTAAATTAAAGATAAATAGAAAATAAAAGGTTACTATTTGTAATCATTACTTTGTTTGAATATTTCTCTGCATGGATGGTATGTGAAGACGGATGAGTTATTGACAGGTGTTACCCAGGTCACAGCTGAAACTACGCCTGTCTTCTGGAAGGCCCAAAAGTCATTTCAGATATTTTTTTATTAAGTGCAAAATCATGTCATAGATGAGTCAGTTTTTTTTGTTTAACCAGTTGGTTGAATGAAAAATAATCTGACCTGATTCCAGTCCATGAAAAAAGTGTAGTAAAGTAATCCAAAGTCCATAAAATTAAATCTTCTAATTCACCATGTGCAGCAAACTGAAAACAAAGTGCTCCATAGGATTCCCCCACATAGATGTGAACTCACCACAAATATTTGCCTTCTACTCTCGTGGTTGGCCAACAAGCTTCCTGGGACATATTTCCCATTTATAGATGAATTATAGATCACTCGAGATAAAATTCCACTGCATCCAAATTGACCATGTAAAACAAACAAAAAACGCTCCAATGGTGTAGTATGAACAAACAGATCCTTTAATAAAGTGATTGGACCTTACTCACAAGAAGAATCAATAAAACAAGCCCGAACAATATATCCTTTGATAAGCCTGAAGTGAACATAGACCAAGTGCTCTCACCACCTCTGGTAATAGACGCCGTTGCGTCACTTCCAGTCATGGTCCACGTCACTTCCTGTCGCTGCACCGTCACACACTGACGTGTTTCGTCACTTCCGGCTTGCTCATAGGAGTGACGGTGCGGTGCAGCGTGTTACTCTTTATAAAGTCGGCAATCAGAGACATCAATCCTCCCATTGGTCAACTGCAATACACACCTCCACACAGGAAGTGAGGTGTGAACATGGCGGAAGTTCACAAGATTTTTATATACTGTATATTGCATAGGTTTATAAATATTTACTAGAGTGGGTTAGGGGAGGGGATGATAAATCAACTAAACATTCTCTTATTATTCAGTATTTAATAAGGTTTCATATGCATTATTTTAAATTGTGAAAAAAATAAGTATAACCTATTTAAATTGGCTAAAGAAAAAGGAGACCTTTAGCGCAGTTCAAATGCTGGTAACCATCCAATACATTGTACGAGTAACTTGTAATAAACATGGTGAATTTATTATATAACTACTACACTATGAGTGTTCTTCTTCTTTTTTTCTTATCTATATACTGGATGGGAGTCTTATTTTAGGGCCTGTAAAGATCTTTTGAGAGGAAGATTGAAATCTATCTTGGTGAGGACTGCTAGTTTCATTATCTGCAAATATTCATCTTCCATCTGAGCTGCGTATAATAACCGGTGTGTTTTGGTCAGAATGTCTGGTAAGAGGCAGAACCATTCGGGTGTTTTGGTGATGGTGGATCGTGGGAACTTCGCTTGGGACATTTTATTGTAATTTTTTCTGATTAATTGGACTTTATGAATATATACTTCTGATTAGTGCTACAATTTTATATCATATTTTTTATTATTTATATTGCCTATTATGCAAGCTGCTTTACTTTGATTTTTATTTTATATTTTTTTTAGTTCGATTTTTTGTGTATTTACCAAAGCGCAGGTTTATTGTTTTCATTGATACACATGTATGTTGGTTACTATTTGTTTATCTTTTTCTTTTCTTAGATTTTTTTTATACAATTTGTACAATTGTACAGCCTTCAAATAAATTACTTTTGGTCCTGAAGAAGTGGGAACACCCACAAAATGTGTAGACCTACTTAATGGGACACACAAAGTATTTAGACAAAAAGTGCTTATATGTACTAACTTTTAACTTTTGTATGTAATGAAAAAAAACATTTTTTAACATATACTCAGTTGGTTCACGTCTATTTTTTGTGAACAGCAGAAATATATTGAAAGTCC